ACACAATCCCATATTTTGTGGGTGTGCTCATACCTAGATAGGTACAACAATAAGATATCAGAAATTATTACAGCTATACTGGATTCCCCTTACTCAATAACATCTCAGACTTATCTTTTCCATCTAGACTTCCCAGTTACAGATAAACATACCATATTCCTCATAATAAATATACTATTGGCCTCTAAGATATGTCTAGCATGATACTGGAAAACACAAACTGTTCCATCATGGCCTGAGATTAAAACTCAAATTCATTTCAAGGCAGCCTCGGAGAAATATTTCTATAATCGAGATGTATCGACTAAAATATTATACGACAAGATCTGGTCAAAATGGATAGCAATTTAAATCAAATTTGAAATTTTCTTCCCTGTGAGAATTATATTTAGTAAAACTTCTAATACTCCAGAGGTCTCCAAATATACCAGATGGGGAAATTCGCACCCTGAGACACCAGAGACAATTACGATCAAATAAGATGATTGATAGGATTTATTTTATTGGATAAATGTATTTTTTTTTCTATCCCTACCTTTCCCCTGATTCAGAAGGATACATTCTATGATATAAGTATTATGTCATAATACTTTTTTGACTGGAAAAATGAGTTTCAGAGACAAGAGGAAAGAGTGGGGAGAGTTTATGTATATATTTGCTTATTTTTGATTATATATCTACATTTACTTATGTATCTGTACATGTAATTTATCTTGAAGTTTATACAATTTTTTTTGTTGTTTGTCTTGTTTTTGTTGTATTTGTATTACATTGAGAGAAAAATGGCAATAAAGAGAATTATAGAGAAATTGAATGTTAGGGGAGTATTGTCTCATACTACTAACTCTATATAGTGAAACACTACCTCCAATATACTGTAATTGGGGTGTAGATTCCTGAGTGCTGCTGGTTTCCTAGTTTCACTCGTACTAAGCTTGAGTTGTACTGCAGCCTCTTTTCCTCAGGTATATTATTCTAGTGACATTCATTTACTAAAATCTATTACTACAACTGGTGTGAACAACCACAACGCTGCGGGTTCTCTAGTCTTATTCAAAATAGACTTAAAATAGATTGCAGCATACTGTTCTGAGATATAGACTTATATAATTGCCAACTATGGAATACCAACTAAAGGCTCCAGATAGGTTGTTCCTTTTGATGAGGCTATATATTTAAGTGTGTCTAGATTCTGCCGTTCACCCTGTAAACAGTTAGATTATCTGTCTAGCCCCTTTGTATCTATCTATCCCTATCTAATCATCCTGGATTGATATAATTTGAATTGCAACTTTAGCTTGACAGTTAGTTCGCTACTTACATTACGCAATTTGAATCAGTAGGCTTGTAATATTGTTAACTACGCAGATACATATATAAGCCCTTCGTGATACCGTTAGATTTATATTTCTAATATCTTCCCAATGTTATTCTTCTTTATTGCACTTCCATGTTTATGTACACTTTTTTGGTTTTTCACATATGTAAGTGTGGTTTTTGTCTATATATTGAATACTAAAAAAATTTATATAATTGCTTCTCGAACAATTTTAACTGTTGTTGAATACTCTAATACTCTTTGGGTAACCTTTTTCGGTACCTAGCTGTCCATTTTGGAGCAGGTCCCGATTTACTTCCTTTTCGATGTGTCTATGGTGTTAAGTCCTTTGGTTTACCCTATAACCAATACGACCCCCGGGGGGATCTGTTTCTAGCGTATGGAGTTCGTCTTTTATGGAAAAGAAAATCAACTTATCAAGCATGTGTCTGTTATAATTATTAAAAATTTCAGTAAATAGTCTATTCTCATATTTTTCAAAATGTTTGGTTGCCAGCCATCTCTTTATCTGAAGAATTGTACAATTTATGGACAGACCCTTGTTGATTCAACCAAGTTGGGAAGAAAGATTTGCAGACTTTCTGATGCAATTTGATAATTTGTCAATTTACTAATAAAAGCAAAGGGTTTATAAAGGTATAGTTTCAATAGATATCTATGTGTGACACAGAATCAAAATAATACTGACAATTCACTGGTTAGTAAGTTATAGTTCAACTTTCAGAGTTCGGACATATACAATTTGTTGTTTTTGCCAAATTATGGGTGTTGTATAATGCATAACCACTTAATTGCTGATCAGTAAATAAACTCTTAATACTCTTATATGTTTATTATTCTATCACTGAAAAGTTATCACCCTGCACTGCAAACATTATGCTCTGTCTTTAGATATATCTGTGTTAATGATATCTCTGAAATATCACTTAAAGGAGCACTATAGGGTCAGTAACACAAACATGTATTCCTGACCATATAGTGTTAAAACCACCATTTACCTCCCTTGCTCTTGCATCTCTAAATATAGTAAAATCTTACCTGTATTCAAGTCTGCAGCTGCTGCCTCTGACCTGCCTGCTGTCTGCTGACAGCATCAGAAGTGGTGGTCTTAGCCAATCACAGTGCTCCTCCATTGGATTGGTTAAGACTGCAAAGAAGGCAGATCAGAGCCAATACAAGTCAAACACAGCCCTGGCCAATCAGCATCTCCTCATAGAGTTACATTGAATCAATGCATCTCTATGAAGAACATTCAGTGTCTCCATGTAGTGGGTGGAGACACTGAATGTCAGTCACACTGTGCAGCACTGCACCAGGAAGCAGCTCTAGCAGCCATCTGAGGAATGGCTAGTGGAGGTATCACTAGGCTGTAATGTAAATACTGACTTTTCTCTAAAACAATGTTTACTGCCAAAAGCCTGGAGGGAATGATTCTACTCACCAGAACAAATACAATAACCTGCATACTGTACAATAAGTTGTAGTTGTTCTGCTGACCAGGGGCGTACCTAGAGCATTTGGCACCCGGGGCGGATCCTGTGCTTGGCACCCCCCCCAAAAAAAAAAAAAAAAAAAACCTGTAAAAAATGTTAAAGGTTTTATTTCTTTTATTTTTACAATTTGTAAACTTTGCAAAACCGCTGTCAGCCCCTCCTACAAAACCCTTGTCCTGCCCCTCCTACAAAACCTCTGTCCTGCCCCTTCTACAAATCCTGTACTGCCCCATCTACAAAACCCCCGCAACCCCCTTCCACAAATCCCCTGCTTATCCACCCTTATAAAGACTCCTGTCCCAATACAAAACCCCCACCCCCTTCTACAAAATCCCTGCAGCCCTACACACACATTTACAGGCAGACAGTCACACACTCAGTTACAGACAGACAGTCACACACTCAGTTACAGACAGACAGTCACACATACACATTTCCTCCGTGCGGCCAGTTTATCAGCTGTTTGCTTGAGTGAGCTGTACTGGCCGCACGGCACCCTAACTACCATGGGACACTGTGCGGCCACAGCTCACACAGCCCCCTCCAGCCAGGGCCGGTACAAGGATTTTTGCCGCCCTAGGCAAAAGTAAAGTTTGCCGCCCCCCCATGTGACATGACAATGCCCCAACCATATGATTTGCCATGTTAACTAACGCCAGTGCTGCAGTGCCGCCGTGTTTACATTAAAAGGCCTGCAGGGACAGGCTATAGACACCAGAACCACTATATTAAGCTGAAGTGGTTCTGGGGACTATAGTGTTTCTTTAATGTGAGGTAAATTAGAGCTTAGTGCCACGAATAATATACTAGATTGCCTACTTACAACCAGATGAGGATGATGATGGGCTCTAGCTGCAGTCTGGCTCCACTGGTCTGGTGCAGAACAGGCTCTCTGGAGGCGGTTTGTAACTGTGGTCACAAAAATCAATGTTCTGGGAGAACTGGAAGCAGCTCATTTTTTGGGGGTCCTTTACACAGATCAAGGTCTGGGTCCCAGGGTCCACCTTCATGTTCCACCAATGAGTTTGTTCACAGGGGGTGGAGTGTGTAGGGGATGTCCTGATATGTGTGTAAGGAATGCATTGTGTGAAATTGTGTTTGTATGTGTAAGGACTGCAAGGTGTGTTTCTGTGTATGTATGGGATGCATTGAATGTGTGTAAGGGGTGCATTGAGTGTGTGTAATGAATGCATTGTGTGTTTCTGTGTGTGTAAGGGATGCATTGTGTGTAACGGTTGCATTGCTTGTGTATGTGTGTCTGTGTGTGTAATGCATTGTGTGTTTTTCTGTGTGCAAGGGGTGCATTGTGTGTATGTGTGTGTGATGAATGTCAATCTCCCCCCCTCCCAATTTCTTTCTCCCCCCCTCCTCCCAATTTCTTCTTTCTCACCCACCCCCTTATTTCTCTTTCTCACCCCCTTATTTCTTTCTCACCCCCCCTTATTTCTCTCTCACCCCCCCTTATTTCTCT